TTTTAATTTTACTATTAAATGCTTTAACACGTCTAACTATTAGTGCTGGCTATTTCTTCATCCTTAGCATTTTCAACTCCCAAGATTAAAAACAAACATTTTCTTGTTATATAACAGGAACTGTAATTTTTTTAATGATGATACCTGAGACTAACATGACAACACAAAATACCTCGAACATGAAAGTGTCCACTTCTTCTCGAATAGCCTCAAGGCTTAGCTTGTTCCCTTCATGATCCATCACATTTAAAAGCAGGTCGAGAAAAGCCTTGCGTTTTCTGTTGGAGAGGGTCGTGCCCTTGTCATCACTTTTACCTTCTTCATCTCTCTTTATTTCATTGGCCCGTTCATTGATGACCTGTATGATTTAAATGATCACAGGCTTTTGTGTGGAATTTGATATGGCCTAATAATCCATTTTCCTGTGAAAATATACTCACTTCTTGAATTGATTTTTTTCTAAGCCTTTCCTGTTCTGTCTCACTCAACAGGAACTTAGGTTTTTGCAAAAATATAGTAAAGCTTTCTGTGAACATTTTTAGGGCGTTATTTGATAACATTTTTAAAACAAATTTAATGTCAGACAAATAGATTGTTTCGAAGGACTATTTTTACAGCCTTTCCAACATGGAAATAGAGTAGTAGTCTCCTGAATAGGGCCCCAGTGAGTTGAAAGAGCTCATGAGAAACAGTAGGGGTGGTGGAGAGAACACAATCATTATATAATAGATTAATTATAGATTACTCTAATTACGTGTTGTATTAGAGAAAAGAATCACCCTGTATGCTTGCCACTCCTTCTGCTTAGAATGCTCTTGCCTCAGAAACCAGCATGACTAGCTTCTTCCTTAGTTGTAGATATCCGCTGCCCATTGTCACACTGTCAGGGTCATTGCTACCCTAGTCCCTAGCACTCACTCTCTTCCTAAGCCTATTTTACCATTTTTTTCCCCATTTCATTTACCACATGAAATTGTATTTGTTATTTAGTGACTTTCTCCTCCAACTTCAATGTAGCAGCAAATTTGTGTTTATTCATTGATATACTTCCAAACTTTAGAGCACTGCTTGGCAATTTAAAAATGTTCATCAGGTATGTGTTGAATGAATAAAAGAATGAAAGCCCCTGAGCTTAATTTGGTTACACATTTCAGCTTTCTCCTCCTTTCAGGCAATTGTCCAAACCTGCTTCTGCTTTGAATGAACAGACCCCAAGTTCTGTAAGGACAAGCACCATGTCCTCTCTTTGATTCTTGGTGGAACCCCTAGTGCCTGGCACTCAGTATGCAATTTTTGATATTATCCATCCAATTTGGAATTCATTCATTATTGATACTGATATTAATGCATGAAATTTGAAGACAAGTGTAACTAGACCTATAAAATACAAACCGTTCACCGTTCACCTCTGGCCAGGCAATTATGCTATACTCCACTGAGGGCAGCTCACTCCAACATCTCATTCATCTAACATCTAGGGACTCTAACAACTTGATCTGTTGGTGGAGGCAGTACCTCATGGTCAGGAAGCAATGCCATCATATTTTCATATTTTAATTACAGCAAAGAACAAATATAATTACTTCAGCACTTCTATCAGTACATTTAAATTATAATGCATGTTTTCATGTTTTCATGGCCTTTTCATAAACATACTTTTAACACAAAGACAAACTATATCCAGAACATTACTATTTCCTTGTCATTAAAAATTAAATAATAATATCTAGTTAATTTTTATCTTTTTTCAGTTTAAGATACTGCTATAAATGCCGTTTGTCTTTGAAAACCATTGCCTAATCCAAACATTTTGCAGAAGATTCTTATATCACAGATCCTTGTATCTTTATTATCTTAACATAGCACCCATTTTGTTAATAGACTATAATAGCTCATATCACATTTTGTAATTATTTATTTATAGACAACCTCCCCCAGTAGACTAACATCCCCCAGTAGGGAAGATTAATGACTGGGCATGTTAACAAACATAGGAGTCATGCACTTATAAAAGTTCTA